TATTTCACTCATATGAAGAAAATAATTTGTACTCACTTGTGAAAAGATATTTCACTTAGTTGAGAAAACATATTTCAAAATGGATTTCACTCGATGCAAAGAACTAATTTCAATTATTTCAAAAACCAATTTCACACAATTTCAAAAACCAATTTCACACAATTTCAAAAACCAATTTCACACAATTCAAAAAACAATTTCACTCACTTCATAAAACAGATTTCGCTCATTTATAAAAAACAATTTCACTTATTTCAGTTGTTTCAAAAAAGTGATTTCACTCATTACAAAAGGTAGATTTCACTTAATTTTTGTAATGAGTGAAATCAATTTTTTGAAACTAATTACAGTTGTTTCAGAAAAGTGATTTCACTCGTTACAAAAGATAGGTTTCACTCATTTCACTAGTTTCAGAAAACGTTTTACACTCACAATATACACACTGAAATATATGTTTCAATTCTTTGAAATAATTTATATCTATGAACTAGTGAAATTTATTTTTTTGGACCAAGTGAAATGTGAAACTCGTTATTTCTAAATCTAGTTGAAAAATATTCAAATTTGAACTTGTTCTGAAGATCATGTTGCAAGGAATTTGAATATATAAAAAAATCAATAACAGATTTTTAATGTGAAAGATAGTGACCATCTAAAACTGTAAGCAAAAATAAAAAGATGCATTTGTTTGGAAGGGTGGAGAGAGAAAAGAAGTTGCATGCATGCGTACAGTGCACTGGCAAAAGTAGTACCTGTAGGACATACTAGTGCAAAGTGATGAAAAGAGGTGGACCAGCCATCTGACATCCAACAGTGCTATACGAGAGATGGGTTATGAGAATACTAGTGCTATACGAGAGGTGGACCACGTGAACGCACGAATCGCAAACCAGACGAACGGTGGATGGTTTGCACGTACATCCAGGAACCGGTAAAAGAGACTTTGCTTCTGGCGCCTTCTCAAGTTCTGATGCGTCAGTGAAGCAAGCAGGGCGATCTTGCC